CCCCCCGCGCGCGCGCTCGTTCCTTACCTGCCGCACAAAGCGTCCGCCCAGGTGGTGCACTCTAGTATCCCAGGCGAATAGAGGTGCAGCGAGATGCACTCCTCCGTGCTGCTTGGGTTTTCCATCTTGTGAAGCCCCATCGAGTCCTCGATGTAGGTCACCGCGCCGGGGGTGCAGGTGACGGAGGAGGTCTGGACCATGTTCTCTCCGCCGTCCCCGTTGCCGTTCGTGATTCCCCTGTCGGCGGGGGGGGCGAGAGCGTACCGCGTCTCCTTGATCTCCCCTGTCAAAACCTGAGAGAGAAAACAGATGACGACGACAGTATTCGACCAATCAGATGCAGCAGCAGCAGCAGCAGCAGCTAGAGTTGGGCGGACGGAAATGCGTGTGCTGGAGGAGGCAAGCCGAAATTGGGGGCAAGAAGTGCTCGCTGCAAACCAGCGATTGATTGTAAGTGCCTGCAAAAACGAAAAGAATGACTAAAACCAACGTGGTAGCGGCGGTGGCACGCGCCTTCACCCAGCAGGCAGTCTTGGGGTGGTCGTGGATGTCTGTCATTGCCCCGGGTCTCCAGCAGAGCAGCAGCAGGTCGAAGCCGGGGGCGTCGACGTCCAATCGTGCCGGAAGGGACGAAGTGGGCTGATACCTGGCGAGCAACGTCCTCGTGAAATGTCGGGGACCCTCTTCTGTCCGTAAGCGCCGCGGGAGAAAGACGGAAGCGAGCGAGCGGGCGGCCGGGGTAAGAATAATGGGCGTTTGCTTGCGAAAAAAGTTCTGACTTGACTGCGCGCGCCTGTCTTTTTTTTTTCTTATTATTATGACCTATGACCAACAAATCCATCTCTATCTACGAAAAGAGTCTTAGATTAGCAGTGAATATTCAAAGCATCGGAGAAGGTCTGCCTGTATTTTCATGATTTCCCGAGCAACACACAGCGATATCTCCCCTGTGGGTAGCAGGCTCAACAAGACATTTTGGTGGCCGTCTTGCATCTATCTGTGTGCATGTTATACTGGCAGTTTTTTCGTAGGCAGGAGGGCACCTGTTTGACATGTCAATAGAGATCACTACGTTCCTCTTGGAACGGATCATACTGATCCTCGTGGCTTGGGTGGTGGTGAAACTCGGGGCGTTCGTCACAACGGGCAGGCGCTTTGCTATCGGAGGAAGGAAAATAATCCGCGGGAATTGAGATCTTCGGGGGCAGGGGGGGAGGGTTGTCAATCATTTGGTGAGACCTAAGGTACGCGTCTTTCTACCTTCGACCTGAAACAGTGAGTCTGCCTACACGGGTAGCCGGAATAGTACGCGAATGCGCACAGCTTCCCGCTGTTGGTGTGCATCAGCGCTTCCCCCTATGCATGCTACGGTACCGCAACACACCCGTTTACATGGGTTCTTGTGTGTACCCCGACATGGTCGCCCTACTAGGCAACAAAGCAGCGAGCGGTGTATCCTCTTGTTGCGGGTGCATGCACATGCGTTGTCTCGCCAATAAAAAAACATGCGTATTGTACATGGACTTTTCTGTGTGCCGTAGGCAACAAAGCCGCGAGCAGTGTTTACTCTTATTTGCGAGTGCATGCACACATTTGTCTCACCAGCAGCCCTCGCCAGCGCGTGGCTCCAGGTCTCCAGCGGTGGTGTGTGAAGCCGTCTGCACGAAAAAACCATCATGTGTGCGTGCGTCGGGGGGAGCGTCATCGTAGTCTAACTGTTAATGGAGAAACAAAGAAACTAAAGGGAAGGGGGCAAGGCCCGCCGCTCCTTGCCTGGTGTCACTCACGGTTGTTGCATTTTGATGCGCTATCCTCTTCTCATAGCAGGCACGCATCCTACCCTCACAAGCAGAGAGCGAGGACGGGGCGTGAAATCGGAATCCTCATCACGGTACAATTTTAACACGACAATACAAGTATCCATGTCACCCTCATACAAACGCTGACATCATACAAGAAATGAATAGTTGTCGTTCGCGCAAGGAAGGATGGACGGGGAATTCGAAGTTAGTTTCGTTTCTCTTGCCTCTGTGTAAGTGACGGGTGTCAGCAGCCTGAAGAGGAGCAAATGTTCCGACGGCGAGTCTTTCGCAGCAACCCCCCCCCACGAAACATGCGCGTGTACAGCAAGTCGGACAGCCTTCGTGTCTCACACGGATCTCGCAGGCGACGTAGTAGGAAGTACAACCTCTCCTCTCTTCATTTTCTGAAGGGGTGCAGTATAATGTCTTTTATCTGTGTGTATTCAAGATTGTTGTGTATGACCCACCGCTACCATTTTTGCGATTTCCTACTCCAGAGAGGTTCGAAATCGCTGTCTAGTTGTATTCTAGATGGAGAGAGCCAGCTACAGCAGTACAGCCAGCCACCAGCACCCTGTCACGACTTCTTGATAAAAAAAAATCAACGAAAAGGGGGTTGGTCTGGCCAGGCCCTGGCGACTACCGACACCCATGCGACAACGCGATGCCTTAATCTCTCACAGCCAGATCATGTCCATCGCCTTCAGCCAAACTTACACAGCTTCGCCGCCGAAGTCGTGCAGAGAGAGACCGCAACTTTGTACTTGTACGGTAGTCTGCAGTGGGACGACGCAAGGCGAGACGTCGAGAATTCAACCGAACAAAGCCGCCTCGTCTTCCCGCTGAAATCCACTTCCTTTAGACTATGCTCTCCTCACCTCAGGAGGCTCTGGATGCGGAACCGCTTCCGGAGAGGCATCGCGCTGAACTCCCACAGCTCCATCTTCACCTGCTCCATGAACTCGACCAGCCTCAAGTCGCCGGGCGGCGCGGGGCCGACCTGATGGTGCTGCAGCTGTAGCTCGTCGTCCTGAGGCAACACCACGTGTTGACGAGGACCGACAACACCGGACGAGGCCTCTTGACCAGCGGGGACTTTCCATGCAAGAGGTGGCGGGACGACAGCAGCACCATCACGCGGGGGGGCGAGCGAAGAAGAACCCTTTCCGTGACGATGGTGGTGGTGTTGCGGCTGTTCCCGGTCCGGCTCTGTCGCTACTACCGCTGCTGCAGATGACGACGACCTCAGAGCGACGGCGGCTTTCAGCTGCTGCTGCTGACAATGCTGCTTGGCAGTAACAACAACCCAACGACAGAGCCCAGTGCGCATGACTCTAGCCAAGTTCATCTCGTGGTTTGGCTGCTGGTGTGTGTGTCGTGGAGAAGCGAGTGGGTGAGGAGAGCCGCTTCAGGTTCTTGGCTCGTCTGGCAGCAGCAGCAGCGGCAACGTTGAACCCCAACGCATCAGCATCGACGACACCCGCCTGCGGCGAGATTATTGACCAATGAAAAAGTAGAGAACACGGCGCATGCAGCTCATGCAAATTCAAACTTTCAAACCAACCATTTCCAGCAAGCAGTTCAACGACAATGCGCGGGCATCGATCTTTAGGGTTGTGGTAATGGACAGAGATCCTGAAAGAACCGCAGGGAGGGACGGGCAAGTGGATACCACAGTACCGCGCCGAAGTGCGTATGCTAGCATAACGTCTGCTGCTGTGCACGGAGAATAGTCTAGACATAACACTAGAGACTAGCCACCCGTTCGAGCTAGACATCGGCACCTACGTACGTGTACGTACAGACCTGCTGTACGGAACGCCGTGTATATGCAAACCTTGTGTGTGTTGGTTGCTGTCGTTGTTGTTGTTGTTGTGTTCACATTGAAAAACCGTTCCTATCTTTCTACCTACTACCTTCATCTGTCCGAAAGTATGATGATAGCTCGTTCGAACCACGCAGAGGAACACCAACAGCATGCAGAGGCACACAGGTCCTAACCCAAAAATTGCTCAGCAACAAGGAAGGGAGCTTTATTGTATTTTTCCGAAGTGTCAATTCTATTACTATTTTCCACGAAGTCTGGAAGGTAACTCTCTGGCCAATAACGAGGGGACGACACCAGTCGCTTCCCTCTCTCCTCCAGAGTCCAAGTTCCCCTTCCATGTCAACTGGCAGGTCCAAACAAAATGCCGTCTCAGTACACCGAGACCCCCCAATGATACTCCATACCATTGACATCCACCTCCTCAATCAGACCCTCATACCCCACTTCCCCGTGGAATAATAGCAATCATCAATCGACATGTCCCTTCTATATATATATATCCTCCCGGTATACATACCCTAGTCATCGCCTCCTTCCCCCCCCCCTCTTTCGGAAAAAAAATCGAGGGTGGCGTGGGTGGGAAAGACGACAACACTAGCTCCCCGGGACAGAACGTCTTCACAGGTAGTAGCTGGCAGTGTTGTCCACTCGTACGTTTAGCAGTCCCTGTGCTCCAGCACTGCTGATGCTTCAACGTGATCGGGCTCAAACAGAATGTCCTGCGAGCAGCTGCCTTCTCTCGGTGCGCATGCCTCCTCTTCTATACGCAGGCAGACATCTCTTTGGCACGTAACAATAAATGCTCACTTCTCATCAACTCCAATAAACACCTATTTCAGACTCCTCCCCCCTTAGGTTGGATCCATCTGAAATACTCGCTTAATTGTATTTTTCCGAAGTGTCAACTTTATTACTATTTTCCACGAAGTCTGANTGGCAGTGTTGTCCACTCGTACGTTTAGCAGTCCCTGTGCTCCAGCACTGCTGATGCTTCAACGTGATCGGGCTNGCGCCCCTATTCCTCATCATCGTCCTTCGCGCCGCCGCCGGCACCGCCCTCCGCCGTGCTGCGAGTCTTCGTCCCGGCCATTCCCACCTTGGCCCGTTTCGCTGGGGCNCCTCCAGAGTCCAAGTTCCTCTTCCATGTCAACTGGCAGGTCCAAACAAAATACCGTCTCAGTACACCGAGACCCCCCAACGGTACTCCATACCATTGACATCCACCAACATCGACGTTTAGTGGGATGGCATTCTGTCCCCTTGCCCGTACCTTCGTGTATGCTAACCCTTCTTCTGCTCCGTCTTCTTCCCCTTCGCTAGTTTACGGGATACCATGTCTACGTCCACCATATTATTCCTAGTATATAATTTGAACGTACCCGGNGGCCGACGAACGGCCGGCCTTGCCTTGCACAGCAGAATTGATCAGCCCTCCCGACCGGAGATACGCCGCGAGGTTTGGGAAAACCGGGAGGGGGGCGGGGCGGGAGAGCGTCCGATGGCGGAGGGAGAACGAAGCGCCGCTGCATCTCGTCCGCGAACATCTGTACGTCGCGCGTGTAAAATTCCATATCTTTGACGATGAACGTGAAACAGATGTGGCGGTTGTGCGGCACTTGGATGGCCGCGTAATTCTCCCGAGCGTGCCGCTCCACGTCGGCGATGGCCGCCTGGAACGAGGCTTCGACACGATCCACTTGCGCTTTCGATGCCGCCGCCAACCTCGGTTCGTCGGCGATCCCCCGGCGGGCAATGGTGATAAAAGCCCTCGCCATGAGGCCGAAATGCGTTGCGATGGGGATACGTTCGCCACCCGCCCCCCGGGGCGCGAATGCAGCAGGGTCAAAGCCACGGAAGTTCAAGAGCATGCCGGCTACCTCGTCCGTGACCTCAATACTATCATGCATCAACCCTTGCAGGCTCGGCTTCTCAAACTTCGGCGGACAACATCCTATCACCACCCACCACATGCGGCTGTTCACCGAGCTCCAAGCGTTCACCCGCTGGTCCGAGATCACCTTTTCCATCCGCCGCTGGGCGTGCGACAGCCCCGTTCCCATCCCGTATCCCCCGGAGTCGATGTTAAGGCCTCCCGCTACAAACGGAGACGAAATCGCGGGAGTGAAGCCAAAGCCGCCCCCACTGCCATACCGACCAGCGCCCTGCAGCAACCCGGGACTCGACTCCACGCGGTGGAGCCCGTAACCCGCGCTCGCGCCCCCATACATGGGCGCCGGCGCCACGCCGGCAGCTGCACGCGCGCCCCCATGCCCGGGCGCTGGTGCAGCTCCGGCAGTGCCACCCGCGGCGGCCCCGCCGCCCCGATCACGCACGGCTGCCAGCACCTCCGCAAACCTCGCCGCCATTTCGGGCTTCAGGTCCTCCACCGAGGCGCTGATGACGACTCGCTCATGAGCTCTGTCCTGCCGCTCCGCCTCGTACTCGTCGCGACCGATCATAGACTTGTCGGAGGAGTTCTCGTCCCCGCTCATATCTCCGCCCCCGGCCGACTTGCCGCCGATGTACCGATCAATTTCCAAAGTAGTCGACGCTTACGCAGAGGCACACAGGTTCTAACCCAAAAATTGCTCAGCAACAAGGAAGGGAGCTTACTTAGAAGCAAGAACTCTGCACCCCGAGTGATTGTTTTTCTCATCCCCACCCTCCTACTTTTCGCCCCCACCCCGAGCTTCGTGGCTAAATACACTGATTACATCCGTCTCCAGCCAGCCTCGATTTTCAAATAAAGCGATCAACGTGCCCCGCAGAGATTGCACCTTCACCTGTACAACAGAGAGAAAGCACGGCTATATATGGTGTCACTGATTGATTGATGTCGTAACACCATTCATTCGATAGACAAGCTGGAGAAGAAGTGAAAATGAGAACACGGGAAAAATGCGACGGGATTGGTTGGGTCACCAACTGTATTATTCTTGGAGTTTGACGCCAACCTTTGATGGTTTGGGTGGGAATGCATGCAGGAAAATAAAATCGCATCCATTCATTCCAAGCCACACCCTAGTGTGTGGGCGTGTAGTTCAGTTGTGAGCACGCGAACGTGCTGCAGGGATTGTAGGTGTACCTCGTCGGGCTTGTGTACCCTTTTCTTGCTAGATAATAGTAGTGTGTGTGTTCTTTAGATCTTCTTCTGATGGCTCTAGCATTTTTGTGACCACGGACCGAGTCTTTGTTAGATTTTGGGATTAGCAACTGACACGAGTTTAATGTGAAGAAAAACAACGACACCCCACACGAAAAAGAAAGCGCATGCGCCACATGTTCTTGGCAGAGAACGGCTAATAGGAAAAGACTGCCTCGCAGACTCGACGACAGGAAAGCTCATTCATGCTCGATCGGGAGGGCGTGTTGCGAAAGGACACGTCAACTGGATGGATGGAGGAGTGGACCCAACGAGTGCTTGGCGCAAGTAAAGAAACACATACAGCAGGTAAGGCGGAGAAAATTGTGGTCTTCCTCCTGTCTGCGTGACCCTGGCTGGCGCGTCCAGAATTGTACCGGAGGGCGTAAGGACGAGCACGTCCAGAAGAAACGCCAACACACACACAAAAAAAGAAAAACGCGCGGTACGCCACAAATACCGATGGATGAATTGATGTGGCGAGCCGTCACGTTATCGAGAGCGGCTCGCCCTGACTGCGGTCATCATTCTTGCGTCAACCTTCTGCAATACGCCGTGTTTCCCTAACGTGGGCAGCAACAACACAATGCCACCTCCACCCGCTGGTTGTCATTATTTTTTCGTTTCGAGGTCCATCCCTCCACTAAGAAGTAGGACGTGGTCGGAAGGATGTGCAGCATGCTATGCATACCAACGGGCGGAGTAGTAGGTAGAAGAACGACGAACAAGATAATGCGAATCGAGCCACAACGGCAGCAGAGCAGTGTCAGTCAACGCACCACGCCGCCGCCACCAGCCCAACCGGTGACACAGGGTGATGCCCGTGCATCCTACTCTCCTGTGATTTCTTCCGTCCTTTTCGCTCGCGGAGAGAAAGAAGCAGAAACACACACACAAAAAATAAACAACACCACCAAATTTCTATCCTACGAGACGAGACAAATGAATGCGCACGTTAAGACCCGAGACTACTATCTTACAGTACAGTAGAGAGCTAGGAAGAGAGAAAACGAACATGCTGATGCTGGAGTTGGCTCAGCGCTAACGTCCGTAACACTCACGACACAGAGACTCGTTCCGTTGTCTGTTTCCGTTCTACAAAAGGTCAGAGGTGGAAGAGCGATACTACCTGGAAAAAAAAACTGGCTATGCCTACCGGGAGTAACCAAACTACATACCCTGACGCCAGAACCATGTTGGGGCACTACCGTATGAGACACAAGATAACATACCCCCTGGACTGGTTTTCAAAGCTTCACTCCCCGACGAAGAGGATGAAACAACGAAATAATACGTTTTCGGAGAGCTCTCGACCAGACAGCTGCAACGCCGCAGTTTTCGCGCTGCGATTCTTTCTGCTGTTGATAAATCGAGCTCTGAAAATCGGCCCAGGCGATATGTTATCTCGTGTCGTATACGGTACTGCTCGACATGTTCACAGCACAAAATTAAAACACACAGCACAGACACCAGGGGACCACACAAAAACATTGAATCATCATACTCCCCCCAGGAAACACAGAAATATCAGACTTTTCACGTAGGGTATGCACACGACGTCTCGACCCGAGTGCCTCACCAAAACAAGAATAGCACCTCTGGCTAGGCGGGTGCTGTGCTGCTGCTGCTGCTGCCCTCCTGTAGTTGCCACAAAGCCCCAAGACCAAAAAAGCAAAAAGCAAGAAGGAAAGCTTGACAAACGCCTCGTCACTTCCGCAACCAACAAGCCGCAGGCAGTGCCGTGAACCATAATAACCGAGTTCCCCCTAGCATAACTTGCTACGGGATGCTTCAGCGCGGGGCAAAAGAGCAAATATTCATAACAGATGCTCCCCCCTGAACACCAGAGAATAGCGAACTCCCTTGACATCGTCACGTTTTCCTCCTTGAATCGCTGCCTTTCGCAAACATCGCGGCAACGCGCCAGTATGCGCCACAGCTCGCTGTTCGAGCTCTCGACCTCGTGGGATACAAAATCTAATACGTAACCGAGCAACGCCCTTCCTGCAACAACATAAATATAACCTAATCGTTTCAACCTCCACCCCCAGCCACACACCTTGACCCGCTCCTTTCACCTCCAACACGACGACAAACCCACTCTGACAAGCCGCCAACATACCTACAAACTACAAAAACGGAGACACGCCCCGATACAAATGATATACAACCACGGGGACAAAAAAACGTGAAAAAACGCAACAAAAAAAAACTGCGCCGACGTGAAGAAAGGAAACGAAAGACACCGCCCTCGTCGTTACGTGCAACACAACATGCGTATCCCTGCTACCACCTATACACATCAAGATCATACACACGCATGGAGCTTGGGGAACAACTGCAGGGCAAACGGGGGCTGGGAGGGATCATGACGGACAAACAAAGCACAACGCCAAAACCTTCCCTCCACGACGGGAACAGCAACCCCTGCCCCCCGCTTCCGCCTCCCTTGGGAGAAACCCAGGCCCCATGCTCTCGTCTCCCTCACCCGCAAAAGCACTCACTCCCTTCGTCCCTCTCGGGGCGACGCAGACTCCACTCTTGGCAGAGTACCCCCCACGTGGGGCTTCCTTCCAGCCACGACCCCTCCCTGTGCTGTCCATCTTCGCCACGGACCCCCCTTTCGTCGGATAGAGACCCCGTCCATTCAGCGCGGCCCCCCCTTATCCTCGGGTAGGTACCCCGTCCATCTTCACCACGCCCCCCCCCTCCTCCCTCTACTCGGTAGGTAGGCCGGCCCCGAGAGCGTCAAGGTGAGCCGACAGCCTCTCGATCGTGTACGTCCCGCCCCCGATGGCGTATGCCATGCGCACCTCCTCTCTGGCCGTCAGCTGCTCAGGCTCCTTGCGGAGGACGGCCGCCGCGTGCGCGCTTAGGAGCTGGGACGGGGCAGACAAGACAGGCAGGAAGGCAGAAGCGATGAGAAAAACAGACGGATGAACACCAAGGGCAACGGGTTGGGATGCATGCTTGGTCTGCAGAGGCAGGCTGCTGGCAGGCAGACAGCAGCGAGAAGACGACCAAGGACGAGCTGCTAGGGCATATACGGGTTGGGATGCATGCCTCGTCCCAAAAAAAAAAGCGAGGGCGCCAACAGCATGCGTCAGGAGGCTCATACTGTTGCTTCCCTCGGGACACGCGGTTCGCCAACAAGTAGGGGGCAGGCTTTTCGTTTTCCAGGCCCCTCAACGGCAGAAGCGCGATGGGTGATCATCGTCGCCGGTCTGGCGAGACATCCACATCGCGTTTCATTCTTCCGCACAACCGTGGGTGGGAGCGCGTGCCCCCGCGCGGCATGAGGGAGCACAGCAAACACCCCGGCACCCACAAAAACAAAACAGGAAAGGCACCTTACATATTGCGTCCCCACGACTGACACAACAAAACAAAAACAAAAAAAAAAACTACAAAACACTGGTAACGCAAACGAGTCATCTCCCCATGGGTAGCCAAATTTTTGGTTCACGTCAGATAATTCACTTGTCCCATAAAAGCACGAAACAAAAAATCAAAATACACAACAAACCTTCAGACCCAATGTTTATGGTTTCAAAATATGGAAATTAATCTTCAAAAGAGGGAATCCTATCAGGGTGCTCAACTCTTCTCGCATTGAAAATCGAAGGCAAGGTATCGCGGGAGGGGAGGGTAGAGATGAGCTCTTCTGTGTGACCACGGGTTGGAGTAAACTGCACTTTTCATAGTGCTGTGGGCGCTGACTTGAAGTGAAGACAAACAAAACAAAAAACAAGTTGTCAAACATTTGCGCGCAAATGTCTGCCAGAGGAACAGTTGAGTGTCGTTTTTATGAACAAAAACATCTTATCGGAATGCAGCAGAAATGCGGCGGGAATCGTGGTCTACCGCTACCAAATGATTTGTGACAGACAAACCACAAATGCGTCATGGAAACTGGATGTAACGAGCTCGCAAAGGGCTTCCGACAACCCTTGATGCACTGAGCTGATGCTGTGCCCGCCGATATGTGGCGATTGCGCTCCGGGCGTGCGAGAAAAAATGTTCTCGGCGTCAAGACGAGACCAAAGCGTGCGTCAGCGCTTCCCAACGGCAAACAGCCGGCCGCTTGAGAGGAGACGTGAGTCTAAACTATCCAGCTCTCATCCTCTAGACCATCGATTCATGTTTTGTCTTCTTGGGTATGTTCTGCATCAACGGCTCTCATCCGGTTGCGCGTGGGTTGGCAGTGGCCGTGCTCAGTCGGCAGGGAGGCTAACCGTTGTGCGCACAAAGGTGTGGGCACAACCGTTTTTGCGGTCTATTTTTTCACTTGAATATAGAGGGCTTGTTCCTCCGTCCCCCAAAAAGACTTTGTCAACACATCGAGTTCATAGCGACGCGCCTCCCTGCCTGTTGAGTACGTTCACTGCTGAACCACGCACACCCGGATGAGAGCCGTTGATGGAGAAGACACCAAAGAAGACAAAACATGAACCGATGGTCTAGAGGATGAGAGCTGGATATGGTTTTGTACTCACGCATCCTCTCAAGCAGCCGACTTTTTGCCGTTCGGAGACACAAACCACGCCTTCTCCGTGCCCTCCAAACCACCCCTGCCTGTTTCTTTTGTTGTGCACGCTTGACGAGCTCCCGCCATGTATCAGCCGGCAAAACGTTGACACGGTCACTCTAGGGTTGTCCGGATCCCTCTATGAGCTTGCAACGTTGAGTGTGCGCTGCGCAGTGGTTGGTGTTTAGGACGGAAGGGGCGGTCGGCTACTAATCTCGCTGCTCCTTCAAATTTTTTTCGCGACCTGCCCCATTTCAAAATGTTTGTCGAACATTTTGTCAAACGAGCGACTTGTGCCCCATGTGAAAACCTTTCGGAAGATTGTCTCCCATAAAAAGTGAAAAAAAACTTGTTTCGCAAATCTTTGAAAATTTCAACGTTTTCGCAAAAAGATTTGGAGACCACAAACTTGGGTCTTAGTAGGAGTACATGTTTTCCCGACGGTTTCAATTACCTTCAAGCACCCCTCGGTGAACGCTCTCTCGCCGGGCATATCAACAGTCTCCAGCGGGGGTAACTCCTGTAGTTCCCCGGTGCGGTGACTCCACTCGATGAACGCCGCCGTCTCCGCGATGGAACCCTCCTCCTTCTCCTCACCAGACATCGCCTTGATGCCCTCTAGCTCCTCGAGGAGGTGGTTCAGCACCTCGTGCGGTGGTCGAGCCNGGGGGGGGGGGGGGGGGGGGGGGGGGGGGGGGGGGGGGGGGGGGGGAGAGAGAGAGAGAGAGAAAGAGCGAGCGAGAGAGAGAGAGAGAGAGAAACAGACAGAGGGAGGGAGAGCATGGGTTGGTGGTCAATGCGGTTGACAATGGGAACTGTATAGGTAGGAGGGACACCAAGAAGGGAGATAAGACACACAGTGGTCGTGTTCCCCTCGGGGAGATAAGGTCACGGCGGCGGCGGTGGAGGCGGGAATGTGCCCAGCAAACACGAAACTAGTCACGAAGCTCAAGGCACCTGCATGTGTCACAACAGCAGGCATGAGGGTAAACACCAGTGCTGTCCGGTGTGACGAAAAAAACAAAAAAAAACACGCTTTGTCGGCCAGCCGTAACACCTCAGCCCGAACCTGATCAGTGTTGAGGATCCACGGCAGCCCTTCCACGGCCTGCGCTCCCGCCACTTCCTGGACCCAGGTTTCACTCCCGCCTCCGGCCGCAGCCGCCGTTGTGCTGTGCCTCGACCCTATCCCGCGGTGAACGCTGCTCCACCCGACACCCCCCGGCGTCGCCGCCGCCGCTATCGCGCCGCTGCCCCCTGCCAACCTCCCGCCCTGCCCGGGCCTTCCAGGAGTCGACCGGATGTGGTGGTTCAGAAAAGAAGAGCCGGACAGGAGTCGGCTGTGTCGTGAGGGCGTAGCTGGTGGCCGGGCAACGCTCCCGTGTCGTGACGCCGGCTGCCCTTCTTCTCCCGCCGCCGCCGCCGCCGCCGCCGCTGGAGTGCCGCCGCCGTCTCTGCTCGTCAGCCCCCTCCTCCTGAAGATCCCTAGCCTAGATGGTGTGCTCGGCCTCACTTTTGAGGCCGCCGCAGCGGCGGCGGCTGCTGCTGGGCCGCTTTGGAGGCGCAGGCTCCGCTCCTCCTGGAAGTCGAGCCGCAACCGTTCGAGAGCGGCCTGCAGCGCTTCGTTCTCCACCTGAAGGCTGGTCACCAGTTCCTCCTGCGTGCGGCCCAGCCAANGGGGGGGGGGGGGGGGGGGGGGGGGGGGGGGGGGGGGGGGGGGGGGGGGGGGGGAGGGGGGGGTGAGCAAGCGCGGAAGCACGACCGCGGTACATGTTATCATTGCCCTCTGGTCTCGTCGAGAATTGGTCAGCCGGTTACAGCGCGGTCGAAGCAAATCCAAGACACACACAGACAACCACATACACACACATGAGAGCAGCAGTCGAGGAGGGAATAATGGCGTGGAAGGGAGCAAGAGCTTCGAGCCAGCCGACCTTCCCCACGACAAACGAGGCAGGGCTAGAGGCGAAATGTCGAGAAGTTGCTGTGAAAACGACCATGAGAACGATAGAGTTGGAAGGAAGGAGAATGACGGTGAAAGCACTCCAAAATGAAATCGAGCACAAAGGAGCAACCTTCGTGGACGTGTGCAGTTTTCTTCTGTTGCTACCGTTTCTATTTTTGATCCGGAGAATAGATTGGTCTCCCCCATGCCGCCCCCTCACGGGGTCCCAGTTAATGGCATTTAGAAGTGTTTTGTGTTTTCAATCGCACTACTAAGACTGACGACTTTTCATTGGTCAGTCGGTTAGCGCGGTCGATGCTTATAATAAAAATACGCACATGACCCTTTGGAGTATTTTCGTGATCAACCGGCGCACTGAGACTGGCGTCCCTCCGTTGGTGAGCTAGTTAGCGCGGTCGATGCTATTAATAAACACACACACATGACCTGCAGAAGAGCTTTCTGTTTCACCCAGCCGTCCTGACGCCTCTTCCTTGGTCAGTCGGTTGTACATACCGCGGTCGGCGCTCGGAGTAAAAAGACATAAAACCGAAAACAGGCTCACACCTGTTGTTGAACCTCAGCGGTTGCGCGAGCCTTTCCCTCCTCAAGCACAGCTTCCTTCTTCGCGAACTCCTCCTCCTTGGCGCTAAGCTTGCACAGCGCTGCCTCGCGGTCGGCCATGAGCGCCCCTGTCCTGTCCTCTCCTTCCCTGCGAGGAGGACGAGGACGTCCAACATCGGTGCACGACGCAGCAGAGGGCGGGCGCCAATTGTGCTCAAAACAACCGAACAAAATGTGGTGCGCATTTATCTTGCACCTCTCCGATTGACCTCACGTGTGTCTTCCGATTGGTTTTAAAGCCTAGTCTCATAAACTATGTACCGTCAGTTGTTGTCGGAACCTAGATCGTGCAGCAACGGTTGGTACTCTTCCCTCGCGTGCGGCACTACTCACCCGAACCCCGCCCCTACCGCTTTCAAACAAAGTCTCTCTTTCACAGACGCGGCTATGGTAGTCCTTGCGTACTGCCGGCACATGCAAACGACCGCAAGCCTAGACAAAACTGCGTCCATACTCCGGAGAATACCCTAGCCTCCCCCCTCGAGGGGCCCCAGGTCATGGCCTCAAGGCGAAGCCTTTCCCGTGTATCAGCCGCACACGGAGACTGCTGTGACGTCTGTTCATTGGCCAGCCGGTAACCGCGGTTCATACCAACACACCAAAAACAACATAGCCTAGCTTCCCGTGCACCATCCCCCCCTGTGGGGTCCCAGACCATGGCTTCAGGGCGAAGCCTTTCCCGTGTATCAGCCACACACTGATATGCGGCAAATGCGGCGGGGGGGCTGGGGGCTTCGAAGAATCGCAAACATTAAGCGCGTCGGGATAAAAATCACCCTGAGGGACCGAGTCTTTGCCATCCATCAGACCGATTAACCAATCATGGACATGAGAAAGCTTCTTGACGTTGGTCTGATGGAGGGTGAAGACTCGGTCCCACAGGGTGATTTTTATCCCGACGCCCTTGATGTTTACGATTCTGCGAAGCCCCACCACCCGCGTTTGCCGCAATGAATGATGATTTGGAGTGCCGGAGGGGCTTTTTTGCGGAATGTAGTGCGCAGCAAACTGTACGTCCCCACTCCCTCTCGCATGCCCTGGGGACTATCGACCCCGGTGCTTCCCCGCTTTCGGTAGGGAAATCCACGCCCACGATCGACAGTAACTTGTTCCACGCCTCCACCGGCCATGTCAACGAATTTCAGATGCGTGCGACAGCCAAGCCGCAGGGTGTCCGATTTGTGGGAGAGATGCAGCCGTGTGTGCGCTGCGTGGAGGCGAAGGGCAGGAGGACTCCGGTGCTGCGGCGAGGCACCGGCGCAGCGGTACCGTCCGGCAAGGTTAAAATCGACCTCACGGGCCCGTTCTCCGACGCGCTGGACGGCTTCCGGTACCTCATCATGTTCGTCACAGCGCCTTGCGGTGGCAACGGGGGTACGGGATGCGGGCCAAGAGCGGTACCCTGAAGTACTGTGACGACTTTTCCCTGGCCAGCCGGTCCACTCTTACCACACCAAAACACTCAACAAAACACACCTGAGTTGAACCGCTAGGGCTCGAAGGCAGCGCTTCATCTCCTCCCTCGAGAGCTCCGACCGCGCGTAGGCCCGCCTCAGCCGCGATATCTCAGAGTCCCGCATGGACATGAGAGCGCCCCCGGCCTCCCCCAGCCCCTTCAGGACCGCCCCCGCAGCGGTGGAGGTGCTGAGGGAGGAGCGGGAGGAGCCCCGTCGTCTCGAGAACGTGTCCCTGAGGCTGCCGCTCTTCCGCAAGGCGGGGGGCGGCGGCGGCTTCGAGGAAGAGGAGGAGGAAAAGGGCGGCGGCTCCTGGCTGCTGTCCTTGTTTCCGTTGTTGTTGGCCTTGCTCCGCCTTTGGAGGCACCGCAGTCACAGAGGTCGCGCAACAGCAGCAGCAGCAGCAGCAGCAGCAGCAACGGATCAGCGGGTTGGTGCATTTTTCTTCCGCCTTATGGAAAACAGAGCGAGAGAGCGGGCGATCGAGGGGGGGTACCTTCTGTCGTTCTCAAAGCGCGGGTTGCCGGAGGCTCACTCGCTCATTCTTCCGACCTCACTCTAAAATAACGTACAACGGACAGCAGTGTTGGATACCCCATTAACATTAAGATACGGCAGCAACAGTGTCAAGACCGCCCGCTGGCATGGTCGCCTTCCTAGTCATCAAGGGCAACCAAACAATCCAAGCGCCCCCCCACCCAGAGCACACAATCCCCCCCGGCCTCCCCCGATACATGAACACCCAAAGGCCTGGGCCGGCAAAACCCCGGCATATCGCTCCGTCCCGGCATTATTGCAGGGAGGCGAGGTCCGGCATGCGTTTCACAAGTACCTCCCGCTATGGTGAGTACACCCCACCCCCCCTATATGTACCTGTAGCTGTCCAACATGGTTCGGAACTTCTTCCCGGTGGGCGCATCCCCCCCCGGCCCAGCGACGACGACTGCGTTGCCCCCTTCTCTCGTCCGAGGAAGGGGGCCGGCACCCTCCCCCCCCGATACAGCCGCCAGCGCGTCCAGCGCCTCCTCGTACTTGGAGCGGTACGAGAGCTCGGCGTCGTCGCCGTCCTCCTGCCGCCGCCGCCGCGGCGGCGGCGGCGGCACCGAGCTCCCTTCCTGTTCGGCGATCGTCAGTTTCCCGCGAGCGGCGGCGGCGGCGGCGCCCCCGCCCGTGGATCCTCGCCAGGGGGCTATTTCCTGCAGGCCGCCGTAGCCGCCGCTCTCGCCTCTCCTCTCGGCCGCGGCCGCTGCTTCCGAGGCCGCGTCGTGCAGCGCTGCCGCGTCCGCCAGCCACCTTTAGACGCCAGAAAAGCGCACGGAACAACAGCGGCAGCATGTTGTGCGCGCGAGTGAGTGTGTGTGTTTTCTTCATTAGCATCGATCGTGCTAACCGACTGACCAATGAACAGACGTCAGTCTTGAAGCGGGATAAAAAAGTGTGTGTGTGTGTGTGTGTGTGTTTGCGGTCCCCTCTGTTCTGGCGCCAGAGCGACACGGTGTACATATATGTGGCATATGTATCAGCGGGGGTCATCAATCTTGTCGTGTGGGTTGTTGGAATGGCATCGACAGCGCCAACCACCCGACTAAACAACAAACGTCAGTCTTACCACGAGTACAGCGGGATTTGTGTGTGTGTGCGTTTACATACCAACTGTCCTGGCGTCAGTCCACACCGTTACGGTTGTAACCATGTCACGTATGCATATCAGCCGGGGTTACCATCACACCCGTAGGAAGGAAGGTATCACCGCAGGACTTTTGTGTTATTTTTTTCTGGTGAATAACGCCCAAAACGTGTTGTGACGTCCCGATTTCGGTCAGGCCTCTGAAGAACCGAGCGCATTTTCCACGGCTATGTGCTCCCAACAAAACCGGTAAATGTCTCAGATACAAGAGTTTCTTGCCATCGAGCGGTTTTGGTCACGACACTCGAGTCTCCCAGCGAGGTATGCGTCCGACGTATAAAATATCCACCACATCCCCGCGTCGGCTGGTGCAGCGGCGGTGAAAGTGGGGGGGGGGGGGGG